CTGGGCAGAGCTGCTTTCCAGCTGGACAGAGGCAGTGTTCGGAGTCATCGTGGACTGTGCTGTAGGAGCTGAGGTGGGAGGCAGCTGCTGTGGTAGATGTGGCCCAGGTCACTCCGTCCTGCTCTGGTCGGCTCCAGGAACTTCTGGGCCCTTTGTTGACCTGTGTGGGGCGTCACTCACTCGCACCTTGCTCCTTAACGCCTCTGCAGCCTTCCCCACGTTATCAGCAGGATGGGCAAGCTGGAACACGTGGACATTAACCTTTTCTGCCTGGTGGCCACGGACTTTTACAAACACCAGATAGAGGAGGAGCTGGACCGCCGGGCCTTTCAGTCAGTGTTCGAGGTGGTTGCGGCCCCAGGAAACCCGTATCAGCGACTGCTGGCCTGTTTGCGGAACATCCACAAGGTCGCCACGTGCTGAGCACCACAGGCAGCACAGGCGGTGCGGGTCTGCCGGCACGCACAGGCTTGCTCCGGCAGTGAGGCTGTGTGCAGGGGCTGCAGCAGATGTGGGGTTGAGCCTGAGTCCTTGCGGAAGCTCAGCAGCTGCGTGGCTGGCCCTCCGTGTAGCTCGTGTTAATGCCAGTTAACGGTGTGCACCTTCCTTCCAATGTCACGTGGTCCTTACGGCCAGGCTACAGCTGCTCTTGTGTCTGGGACATGAGTCCTCTGCTCTTGCAGGTTGGCATTAGCCCCCTCTATGTCTCACAGGCAGAGGGTGACACCCCCAGCGTGGCACAGGGAGCCTGGGGCCGTGTCCTGCTCCTGGCAGGCATGTGGAGGGTGGCGGGGAACAAGAGGTCCAGCGCCATGCTTCCCTTTCTCTGTTCTCTTCTCAGGATTTAAAGTTTAATTCTATCAGTAAAGAGATTAATTTTAAGGTACCTTTCTATCCAGTGTAAAGTCTGTGCTGCACGCCACAGCCCCGTGGAGGCGACGGGGCCCGTCCTCCCCATACCACTCACTCTGTCCTGCAGTCTCTCATCTGGCTCCTCAGCACGCCCGCGGTGTCCGTGGCACACTCCCCATTCTCCTGCAGCCACATTAACTAGAGTGTGATGCATGTCAGCTGCAGACACCTGTGTCTGGGCTCCGTCCGGCCCTCTCTGAGGGTTCAGCATGCCCTCTCCGGCACCGTGTGGGAGGATCCTCTGCACACCTCCCACAGCGCCTCTTCTTGAGGCACCTCCGGTGAGGGGTGGCCTCTGGCCTGAGCTTCCCTGGGGCCCTCCTGCATGCTGGGGCAGGCATGTGCCCGGCCCACCTGTCCCACAGATGTAACAGGTACATGTGTCTGCCCCCCTCTTGGTCGAGAACAAAGCCTGGTGTCTTGACAACTGGTAGAGAGACCCAAGCACCTCCTTAGCCCCTCTCCCACTCAGCCTATGAGTCGGCCTCTCAGCCCAGGAGCACCTGGTCTGTGCTCAGGTGATGGGCTCTCCCGAAAGGGGCAGGGGTGAGACGGGAGGGCAGTGACTGGCCAGGCCGTGGCGCCTCAAGACTGTTGCCTCTACCCTGGCCCAGGCCCTTGGACTAGGTTTCTGTTTTCAAGCCCAAAGTAGCCAAAATATCAATGCAAGTGAGGCCTGGAGAGTGGAGCCAACCCTGCCCAGGAACCCAGAGTACTTGGGGGTGGGGCTCTGCCTGCTCTCATTCCAAGAGGTCTCCCCCCCACACACCGGGTGCTCTGCCTCCCCATTCTCCAGAGGTCAGCTGGCCATTTGGCCATGGACTCCAGTGCAGCCAGGGTTCGAGGTGTTTCGTGGTAAGTGGAGGTGATTTTGAAGCTGGTTTTGGATGTCTGCAAGGAGGAGGAGTCTTCTGGTCCGCTCTCCTCACGTTGTGTGAGGGCCTGACGCCTCACCGCCGTGCTCACAGCCAGCGGTTCGGGGACAGCTGGGGTGCAGGGTTTGCCTCTGTGGGCCCCTCAGAGCAGTGCTTGGCTTTTCCCGCAGCCCCAGCAGAGCCCTGGCTGAGGTGGGTGTGACATGAGTGGCCAGGCGTCTGAGCAGGCCCTTTGGGGGCTCTGCTGAGTTTTAAGGAGAGGTGGGCCAGTCATCTCCTCCCTTGCTCACTGGGCTCCTGTTTCTCGCCCTGGCTTTTCCCCTGAAAAGCCTGCTGGACTGTTTGAGAACACGGGACATTCTCAGAACTGGCTGCCCCGGCTGCCCCGCCTGCCCCTGTGACTTAGCAGCTCTGAGGTGGCTGCGTTGCAGGCCGGTGTTGTTCTTGGTTAGGTTTTTACATTTGTAGGAAAGAACAGTTGAATGTAGGATTTGGGACCATTCCCCTCAGGGTTCATGCTACTGGGCTCAGCCGGAAGGAAATCGGCCTTTCCTTGGCTACGAGGTGATCTGAACAGCCCGTTAGTTCTTCACACGGGGCTTGGAGCCCAGCGCTGGCCGCAGGTGTGGCCAGACGTGCCTGTGTGCTCTGGGGACGGCCGTGTGTTCTCGAGTGGAGGGTAAGCTTTGTGCACACGTCTTTAATTACATGTACATCTCAAGACGCAAACGTGTAAGGCTCCAGGAACGGCCAGTCAGTTCATGTAGAAGCTGACTTTCCTTAGACTTGCAACCTGGAGTCGCTGCCTGACCAGGACGACGGGGACTGGGGCCAAGGGGGGGTGGTCCTAGCTCATTAAAACCCCCTGAGAAAATAGTCCCCTCGTCAGCTCTGCCAAAGGGATGAGGTTCTTTAAAGTCTATGGCAGGCACCAATCATACTATCAAATTTTCTTGAAAATACCGTTAAACTTGATGGTCAGGTTTGTGTTGGGGTGGTTTTGCTTTTCTGCCAGTAATGTCGGAAGATTTGGACGGCACCAGGGTAGACTTGTCTGCGGCGCACTGAAGTGAGTCTTCTCAGAAACGTGCCAGTCCCGCCCACCGCCGGCCCCACCAGGTAGCTGTGTCCCCCCAGGACAGAAGAGTGATGCTGAAACACCTCGGGACACCCAGAATGTAGCATCAGCAGGCCCTGCACCCCGAGCCCCCCCAGTAGCAGACACCCCTCACTGCTGGGTTTGTTTTCGAGCCCTCGAGGCCCCGGGCGGGCAGTCCTGTGGAGCTGGAGTGAGCAGGCTGGGTCTGTGGGTGGCACGCTGAACAGCAGTAGGAGCTCGGCGCTGTGCCGTTGGCGCTCTGTGATTTGGGGGAGTGGAACCAGCTTCCTCTCGGTACTGCGAGCTGCTTTCCTTGCCTGTGCCCTCACTTGGGCTTTTTTTGTTTGTTTGTTTGTTTGTTTTAAATTTTTATTTTTGTTTAAAGTATTACAGATGTCCCTTTTTCTCCCCAATGACCCGTTCTCCCCCCGTTCTTCCCCCTCCCCATCACTTGGGCTTTTTTGCCTCCCTCTGCGGTGAGGGCTTGTGGCTGCTGGCCTGGGTGAGGGGAGTTGTTCCATCTGGGGGTGATGGGCATTGCTTCCGGGGCTGGCTCATGTGCATCCTCGGCAGGGAGGGACCTGCTTAGGTGGCAGTGACAGCTGAAGGTGGCCTGGATTGATTCTGGGGCCATGCTCCCCCCTCTGCCAGCCTGTCCCTTCCTAATGCAGGGGAAGGAACTTCCCCCGGATGCTCCAGGACGCATCTGGCCCTGGACAGCTGCTGCTGTCCCTGTTGCACACTGTGGCCACCCCAGCCGTCACGAGCCTGCCAGGTGGTTTGGTTCTGGGCTCTTTGGGGCTGTGGCAGAGCGGCTGTCGGGGGTCTGAGCCCGCACTGGGGGCCTGCAGAGCTGGGATGGGCGCATCCTGGAACCTGACCCAGACCTGACTGCTTTTAGGAGGGGAGGGGAGGACTGACCTGAGATGTATATTTAACTTTTTGAAACTGCTGCAAACATTGTACATCTGAATTAAAGGAAAAATTACACCCTGAACTTGCGAGGCTGCTTTGCTTCTGGGAAAACCCAGACTCTACGAGCAGAGGCTGTGCCGCACGAGCACAGGTCCGGTGCCTCGGAGGGAGAGCGCGTCTGGGCGAGTATGTGGCCACTGACCCCAGCACGGTGGTCCTCCGCCCAACAGATCCTGGCCACCGATGGCAGGCTGGTTAAGTGACGTGGTGCAGTCACATGGGGCCACGTGTTTCAGCACTGAATCTGCTTCCACGTTGGCTCAGGATGTGCAGGAGCCGGGCCGGGACTGCAGTGCACATGTGGGGCCGGGACCTGGCTTCCAAGCCCACCTCGGCCTTGCTGGCCCCTTGGCCACATTGGCCATCAGCACCCCTGCGCCTGGGCTGTGGCCGTGGCGCCGTGGCCATTGGAGCTGGTAAGTCCCCCAGAGCAGCAGCTCCTTTGAAGTCTGCTCAGCTGAAGGGCCCATCCCTGAGATCCTGGGCCTTTGCACTGGCGTTCTGGGTACAGGTGTTTATTCTCCAGCCTGCAAAGAAAAACTAGGCTGTGAGCTGCCTGGGCAGGTACCGTGGAAATGTCCCTGAAGTCCCCTGGGTTCCGGTACCGTGGTGGAGTGTCCTCCCTCAGCAGGCAGCCCTGACCCGGCAGCGTGGTGGGTGCCCGGAGAGACGGAGCCTGGGCCCATCGGGCTTCCTGAGGTTCTGCGGCAGCCCCGAGCCCCACCCTCCTGAGGCACAGAACCTCCTGCACAGGGACAGGGACAGCATTTGGCTGCTGAGGCCAGGTGGACAGGCCACGTGGCCATGTCAGGCTCAGTTCTCACCTCAGTTGCTCTCTAAACACTTGATGGGGGTGGTGGCTTCACCTCCCAAAATTGTCTCCTCTGTGATATGACTCCAGGGCTTTGTGGCTGCACCCTTCAGAGCTACCTAAGCCCTACCCTTTCCCTGGGCCAGACCTGGGCTGCCAGACCCTGGCTGGCACCCCTGGGCACCCCTGTTGTCTCGTGGGAAGCAGTGGCTGAGCCCCTGGCATGAATGGGCTTGTCTGCTACAAGCTACCGCTTGGCCGCCGAGGCAAAGGGCCTGTCCCTTCTTTTCTCAGAGGAAGCCCCTGCCTGACCTGAGGTTCTCAAGCCTTTTGGGCGTGTGGAGTGAGTGTGCCCAGGGCCTGGCCTGTCCCTTGGTAGCCGGCCGTGGCCTTTTGGGTGAGGTGTGCAGACAGGACCCAGGGGTACAGAGTTCAGCCACTTCGTGGAGTCACCACGACCTGGGAGACCACGAGCATCACCTGTGGTTCCCACAAGCTTTCTGGCCTCTGCAGACTGGCTCCTCTGTCTGGTTGGATTGCTTGTCCACCATCCTCCAAAGCAGGCCACCCAGGGGCCACCCAGATGGCCTTATCCTGTCACAGCCGTGCCATCTAGGGACCGTGGACTTCCTAGGCCTTCCCCCCACATGGGGAGCGGGATGGGCGGAGCCACTGGCAAAGCCTCTACTTGCCCTGACCCAGGGGTGGGTGCTTGGGGTATGGGTGGGCCCAGTGGAGCCATCCGGCCAGGGCACCTGGCATACACAGGGCAAAGGGTGGTGTCAACACGGCAAACTCAGCCCACAGGCCCCTGCCTTCCACACCCGGACTCACGTCTCTCAAACCCCGAGTGTTTTTCTGCTTTTGTCAAGGCTGGACTTCCCTTCCCACTCTGATGGGTCCAACTTGCTGCTGCCTGGAGGCCCTTGGGGCTGCCCACTCCCTGCCGTGGGCTCCCGTGCTGGCCGCCAGGTGCTGGGCATCATAGAGGGAGGCTGCCTCACCACGTGGGGGGCAGGAGGGAGGGAGGCGAGGCCTTGCCCGAGAGCAGGCATCCCCGGACCTCTGCCTCGGCCTGATCGCCCCTTGTCCCCCTCACAGGTGCAGCCGGACGCCTAGCTCTCTGCCCTCTGCCTCCCCCTCCTGCAGAGGCTGAGGGTCCCAGCAGGCCATGCAGCTGTGCCAAGGTATGGAGCCCCCCCATCAGGGAACAGACAGGTCCACCCCCAGCTCCTCCTTGTCCTTGGGGTCCCAGCGTGAGGGCTCTGCTTCTGGACCCCAGGGGACCCCTCTCAGGGCTTCTTGTGTCCACTAAAACCTGCGAAGAGACCTTTGGAGTCCAGCCTTTCCCCTGACTCCCCAGACATGCCAGCTGGAGGACAAGCACAGGTGGAGATGCCGCCTTCGGGGTCACCTGGGTGCCAGAGCCCTGAGCAAGAGCAGTGATGCCCCATGGGCCAGCCACTGCCCCTGGAGGCATTGGCACTGGCTATCTTGGTGTTAACCCAGGCCAGGGACGCTTGGCCTGCAGCATGTCCTGACAGCCACCCGGCAGCCCCACCAGGCCTGCACCCAGCCTCTGCCCCCCTCAGGAGCTCCAAGGTCATGCTCTATCTCTCCCGGCCCCCCACAGGGCCGAGAGCCAAGAGCAGGGCCACTCAGGAAGGTCACATCCTTTGCCTGAGGAGCAGGACCTTCCTGGAGGAGGGCTTTCCGGTCACTCATTCACTCTGCAAACTCCTGAGTGCTCTGTGCCGGCGCCTAGGCCCTGAGGAGTGTAGCAGCCACGAGCCTTCCGGGCAGTGCTGCAGGGTCAGGCGGCAGTGTCCCCTGACGGTAGGGCCGGGCCTTGACCCAGGAACCTGCTCTGAGACCCCCCACGTGTCCCTGTCGCCCGCCCCGCTGCCCTCCACTACGACTGCAGGGAGGAGGGCTCACCTGCTGCTGCCCCATCCTGGGCACTCCCCGAGTTAAGGCCACCCCCAGAGCCCTAGGATGCCAGGCGGGATCTCTGGGGCTCCACGGGCCTGTGCGGCAGGGGCCTGTCCAGCAGGTGCGATGGCTCAGGCTCATCGATGGCTTTTATCTTCTCATGTTTGAATGTTGATGCCTTTAGCTGGCGCTTCCTCCCTGCTGTCCCCACAGGCTCCCCTGCTCTGGTCTCCTGTCCCCCCATGGCTGCCCCGGCAGGGACCTCAGTCCCTAAGCCCCACTGAGGCGGGGGGCCCACCCCCAGCCTGGCTCGTAGGCCCACCTCTGGTCCACACCCCCATTATAGTGTCACCGTCTCACGGTGTCCTCCCCACCCAGCTGGTGCCGGAGGCCAGCGTCCATGTCCCCTGGCCCTTGAGACACCAGGATGAGCCACAGTCAAGCCCCAACAGTCCCACTGAATGAGGGTGAAGGTCCCACAGCCATAGACCTCAGCCAGTGCCAGCAGCCAAGGGTCAGCACTGGGGGCCTCAGGAGACCCTGGGAGATGGGGAGCGTTGGGCCAGGCCGCAGCAGTTTGCACTGGTGGGTGTAGAGGAGGTGGCAGTGCCCCTCACAGGGAGCCTGCCAGCTGCACCGGGTGCCACCCGGCTCTGAGCGAGCTGCTTGGTTTCAGAGCCTGGCCCTGCCTGACGTCGCCTTTTCAGCCTCAGGCTTTTCGTCTGTAAAGTGGGAATTAACAGCAGTGCCGGCGTCCCTCGCAAGGTCTGTGAGGGCCCAAGCGGAGAGCACACGGCTGCCGCGTGTGGAAGAGTGCCCGGCACGCGGAGTGCCCGGTTCCCGTGGCGGTTGCCCATGCACGTGTGTTAGCCTGGGTCCCGCAGCTGGGGGAGAGGACGCAGCACAGGCTGGTGCAGGGCGCCCGGTCGGCAGCAGAGGAAAGCGGAAGGATCACAGTGGAGCAGGAGGACGTGAGGGAGGAGATGATGGCGGAACAGGCTTTTGAAGAATGAATAGGAGTTTGCCAGTAAGTGCAAAGGCAAAGTCTAGGTCCTTACTGGAAGGGAGGTTACTTAAGGTCATTCCCTCCACTTGTTCGTTTGTTTGCTCGGCCAGCCTTGACCAAGCCCTGTCCTGCAGGGTGCTGAGGATGCAGGGGCGCCCCGCCCAGCCGGGTGGAAGAGGCCGGCCTGGGTGCTAATGCAGAGTGGCTGGGGCTGTAGTGAGGCTGCCCAGGGCAGGAGGGACACACCACCTGCTCCCAGCTACTCTCTGGCCTCAGGAGCTGTCCTGGCTCCTCAGCTCACCCCATATCACCCAGGCCTGCAAACAGCCCCACCTGCAGGGAGGGAGACGAGCCCAAAGCGGGGGTCAGAGCCGGAGCCCCGCTCTCGCCCAGCCTGGTGCTCACACGGTTATGTTCCCCACTGTGAAGCGTGAGCACGCTGCCCGGGACGCTGTGCGTGGGCCTTGGGAGGGGAGCGCTGGCACGTCCCTGAGGGTGTTGGCTCCTGCGTCCCCTCCCTCTCCGTGTTCCCCCACCCCCTCCGCCTGTCCTCTCCATCTCCTGTCTCCCTGTCTGTCTGCCCATGTCCCTGTCTCATGCCATCCTGGGCGCTCTCTGGGCTCCAGCCTGCGTGGGCCTGCGGGGGCCAGGGCCAAGCTGCGGTGGGGGCTGTGGCCTGGGTCCCACCTCCCAGGAGCCAGGTCGCCCAGTGCAGGCGCTGGGCTCTGTGTGGCCGTGGCCGTGGAGGCCTGGCGGCCAGGCTGGGGCGGAGGCAGGGCCGGAGCCTGGGCCGGAGCCTGGGCCGCAGGTTTCGGGCCGCCCGCCCGCTGCAATATTGATGGCCCTTCACGGCGGCACCGATTCCTGCGCTTTCAGTTAAAAGGTTTCTGTTGTTGTAGCTTGTGCAGTTGCTCTGTTGCTATGGAAACGTGACATCAAAATGACGTTTCCCGTTTAAAAGCTTTTAACTAAATTCCTGCCTGTCAGACATAGGCCCCATTTTGAGCGCGGAGCTGCCTTTCCAGAGCGGGGCTCCTGTCCGTCCACGGCGCGCGGGCCGCGGGCCTCCCTGAGCCGCGCCCTCCACCCCACAGGTGCCTCCGGCATGGCCACGGCCGAGGTGCCCAGCTACCTAGTGTCCCCTCAGACGGAGAAGCACCGGCGGGCCCGGAACTGGACGGACGCCGAGATGCGCGGCCTCATGCTCGTCTGGGAGGAGTTCTTTGACGAGCTGAAGCAGACCAAGCGCAACGCCAAGGTGTACGAGAAGATGGCCAGCAAGCTGCTGGAGATGACCGGCGAGCGCCGGCTGGGCGAGGAGATCAAGATCAAGATCACCAACATGACCTTCCAGTACAGGTAGGGCTCTGCGCACGCTCCCGCCTCGCGGCCACCACCGCGCGCCATCCCCACTGTACGCCTGCGCCCGTGGCCCTCGCCTGGCCCAGCCTGCACTGCAGGGGGTGCTGCTGCTGGCAGGAAGCAGGTGGGGTACTCTCTGGGCCGAGCCCCACAGGTGAGACGGGGCCACAGGAACCACTTGCGCAGCCTCCCGTTGGGGAGGTGGGGGAGATGAAGCCCCAGCAGAGGCAGGGCCGAGAGGGATCTAGGCTCCCCTGGGCCTCTGTCGGAGCTGCCCCGGGGGCACCCTCAGCACTGCCCCCCAGATCCCCGCAGGCAGCTGTCCCTTGGCCTGCACACATGCGCCCCAGCCAGGAGCCTGCAGACCACCAGCTCAGGCTCAGTGGCTCTGCACAGCAGGGAGTCAGGATGCTGCTAAACAGACAGGGAAACTGAGGCCTGAGGCAAGAAAGAGGCTCGGCTCCCAGGCCTGTGTGTCCTGCCTGGTCCTGACGCTCAGCATCCACAGAGCCCCCTGTGAGCACAGCACCTCGCTGACCTCAGGGTTGGGGAAACCCTGGGCGCCCAGGAGGGTCCCACTCATGGGAGGGCTTTGTTTGTGGAAGGAAGTGGTGGGACCCATTCCACGGTAGCCCACTGGCCTGGCAGCCTTGGGAGCACTGCTGGGTCAGGGTCACAGCAGGGCACCGGGCTAGGCAGCGAAGTCGTCCAGGGAGGGAGCCAAGTGTGGCCCACAGGCCAAGTGCCTGGGGGTTCACGGGGCCCAGGCCTATCTGCAGAGGGGCACAGTGTGGAGAGGGTCACGGTCAGGGTGAAGGTCACTGGCTGGTTGGAGGTCACAGGCAGGCCAGGGTCTTGCTGGGGTGAAGGTCATGCAGGAGCTAGGGGCCTGTGGGGGAGAGCGGCACCGAGTGCATGGGGGCCTGTGGGCGGCCTGGGCTGGGAGCAGAGACATGGCCAGGGCTGGGTGCAGACGGGCCCTGCAGGCACTGCACCCTGAGCCACACTCTGTTGGGGAGGCCCATCCCCGATGGGCAAGGAGACAAACCCCCCACCCGCCTGGGCTCCGGCCCTCTGTAGCCTGGAGGTGTGCAGAGGCCCCACGGGCTCTTCACAACCAGCTGTTTCACTTGCATCAGCTCAACTTTTTATGGCCCTTGGAGGAGCAGGTCCAGAGTCTGGCCCCTTCCAAAGGCCCATTTCTGACCCCCAGACCCAACCCCAGCCATACCCCCAACCAGAAACATGCTGCTTGGTGAGAAGGCCTCAGAGTCACTTAGCGAAACAGTGACAAGCTCCAGCTGCGGCTGGTGGTGGGACCAGGGCTAAGCTGTCTGGGACGCAGGCCCCTCAGCCTCCCGCCGGACCGGGTAACGCTCGGGCTCTGATCGCTGTCTGGCTGGGTGATTCGTTGTTTATCCTGAAAGCTTCTGAGTCCCGGGGGAGGGATTGGGCTCCGTTCTGGGAGGTGGAGGGTGGCCGAGGCAGCTGCAGGCGATGAGGGTGCGCAGAGTGGGCGCCGGGGCACTCAGGGCCTGGGGCCGGGCTGGAGGGCTGCCCACATTACCCCACTTCACAGTTTAGGAAGCATTCGCACGTGGTACCTCACAGCTCCTGTCCCCCAGGGAGAAACTGAGGCCCAGAGCAGGAGAGAGACTGGCCCGAGGCTGCACAGCCCTAACAGGCTGACACTTGGGCTGACTGGTTCTTCACCTGTGCCCCCCAGGCCTCCCCGCAGCAGAGGCCTTCCTTGTTTTCTCAGAGCAGCTCTTTATACATTGAGGTTGTCAGGCTAAGGAAGCCTGGGGAGGCCAGGTTCCACAGAACGTGGTTTGTTGGAATTCGGGGGCCTCCATGCTGGGGGCAGGCCTTTCCTTTTTCCTCCCAGGAGTGGGCTGGCTTGAGTGGGGCCCCCGGAGGAGCTGGAGAGGAGCCCGGGCAGATGCTGGGTATGGGCCTAGGCACAGGCCTCTGCCCCCTGCGCCCATCGTCTGCGCAGCCTCCAGGGGATGGACGATCGTCCCGAGTCTGGGAAGGCGGAGCAGCCATGCTCCTCCTCGCGTGATTTGTCCCTGGTGCTCTGCTGAGGGAGCTCCGCGTGGTGGGTGCTGTCCCCAAGGCCACGTCCTGCTGTGGTGGCCTCTGCTCGCCTCCCTGAGCCTTGGGCCCCTCATCGTCTGGTGGTGCCTGTGGGCTGGGGTGACTCGTTCAGGTGGCCTCCCCATTTCCAGCAGCCAGTGGCCACACCCTGGCGGGGAGCCCCATGTTGGGAGACAGGAAGCATCCAGCCACAGGGCAGTCTAGCTCCAAGGTCTCCCCACATCAGAGGAGCATGGGGCAGGACCCTGGGGGGCACAGGCTAAGGCTCGAGGCCTTGGGGAGCCCTGGGCCTCAGGAATCACTGCGTCTGATGGGGCATTTTCTCTCGCCCACCCACCGTGTGGCCTCTTCCTGGCCTGGTCAAGGCTGCCCAGCTCTCCAGCAGCCTCATCTCCCCACCCCCCACCCCCAGAGGATGGCCCAGGCCCAGAGCCAGTCTGCACAGAAGGGCAGGACGCAGGGCCTGGGGGGACTCGGGCCCACGGAGGGCAGACCCTTGGCCTGAGGTCTAAGCGGGGATGAGGGATATTGGGCAGTGTGAGCAGGGGCCCCGCCAGGCCCAGCCCTGCCGCCTCCTGGTGCCTTCAGCCAGCGTGGTATCTGGACAGCTTTCTGTTTGCCAGGCACCGGGCATCGTCTTACTAAACTCTCCTTACAGCCGTGTGAGGAGCTTGCTTTGGTCATCCCCATTTTACTGACGTGAAAATGGAGGCTCAGAGAGGTTAATGAACCTTCCCAAGGTCACACAGCAAAGTGGTAGGCACGAGACACAGACTCGGGTACTGAAGCCTGTTCCTAACTCCTGTGGGTCTCGCTCCCCGAGGCGGCTTCTTTAGAAACACACGTTCATTATGTTACGATATTTTACGCTAGCGTATTCGCAATATTTTATTCCTGTGCGCATGACATGTTTTATTACATTACAGTGTTTCACCATAGCTGGTTAGCTCATTTAGAAGCAGGACCTGTTCACGTAGAGACTTCAGACACTGTAGCAAAGGAAGGAGAGAAACAATAGGAGTTGGCCCGCGGTCTCGGCCCAGACTGTGACCTCATGACGTTGGGGCTTTTAATGTCCAAGGCCAAGTAGGTCCCGAGTCTGACTTCTTTCTCAGTCCAGTGTCACCTTGGCCCTGGAGCCTGGCCTGTCTGCCCGAGAGCGGCTGCCGCCCGAGCCACGTGGCCCCCTGGGTCCCGGAGCCGTGGCGCCTCTGCCAGGGGCCGGGCGGGACGGGCGGGAGTAGGTCTGTTTCTCACCCTTGGCTCTTGTGTGTCTCGTTTCAGGAAATTAAAATGCATGACAGATAGCGAGTCCGTCCCGCCCGACTGGCCCTATTACCTAGCCATTGATAGGATTCTGGCCAAGGTCCCCGAGTCCTGTGATGGCAAACTGCCGGACGGCCAGCAGCCGGGGCCCTCCACGTCCCAGACCGAGGAGTCCCTGTCGCCGTCGGCTAAGTCCGCCCCTCTGTACTCACCGTATAACCGGTGCTCCTACGAAGGCCGTTTCCAGGACGAACGCTCCAGCAGCTCCTCCAGCTTACTGTCCCTTAAGTTCAGGTAGTGTGTGTCCCCCTCTCCCGCCACCCTGGCGGGGCAGGCGCCACTGTCTGTCGTGCGGTGGTCACTGCAGTCTGGGCCGCCCTGGCCACAGACTGGGTGTGTCTCCTGGCCGAGTCACTCTTTAGCTGTGTGCACAGTTCTTAACCTCTCTGGGCCTCAGTCTCCCTCTGTAAAATGGGGATAAATCAGCAGCTTCTCTGAGGATGGCTGGGAGTGTCAGGAGAGAACAGATTTGAGTGCAGGGCCTGGCACCTGGAGGAAAGCCAAGTGTACCCCTCCATGCACCGGCCCTGCCTGCCCCTCAGCTTCTGCTTCGGGCTCCCCTTCACCGCCAAGCAGGCCCCACCCTCGGGCCCCTTCTCCATGCCCTTGCTGGGCCAGCTGGGCCTCAGCATTGGGGAGGGGGTGCTGGGCTGAGCCTCTAGAGTGTCCTTGTAACCTGGTTGCAGTGGGTGTACCCATCCCCTCTGCTATCTGTCACATGCTTCCTGACTCGTGACCCTGCCCTCAAGATGCCCACAGACAGGCATGCAAGAGAATCACCCCTGTGGTGTGGGGGTGGGGAGCCAGAGGAGGGGACATTTGGGGTGGGTTTTCAAGGGTGAATAGGAGTTGGCCAGTTGAGAAAGAGAATAGGGAGTGTGTATTTCAGCCATGGCCCTGCCTCTCCCCCAAGCCTGTCTTCAAGTCTGTCAGATGGGTGGGGTGAGGGAGGCATCTCTGGAGGGAGTCCCTTCAATTCTGACACCCCCAGTGTCGGACTTGCTGTTCTATTTATCCTGTTCCCCGTGCTGGTGGGGATTTCTCAGCAAAGACCCCAGGCAAAAATGCCTTTGCTGACAGCCAGGCCCAGGTAGCAGGAAAGCCTGAGTCATGGCCAGTGATTCTGCAGATGGAGCCCAGTTCCCAGGCTCACAGCTGCCCCAGGGTTGCTCCTGATCTGGGACGTGGGGACTCAGAGCTCTGCTCTCCTGCCCCTGAGGTTGGCTGGGTCACTGTTCTACTCAGAAGCATGGGGACAGGCAGGGCCTTGGGGTTTGATGGGACTGGGCAGCTCTCTGCCCAAGGTGGGGGTCAGTTCAACCAGGGGTACCCACCGTCCACAGCAGAGCCGCAGGCAGAACCCCAAGGCCTGGGCTGCCGTCACCTCCCATCCACAGGGCTTCTGTCCTGGGGAAGCCGCCCGGGCCTCCAGGGGCCCTACCGCCCTAGGTGCCTGTCCCCCTGCCTCCCTACCCCAATTCCAGGTGGCTGGGAAGTGAAGGGGTCCAAGGCCCACGCCCTTTCTTCTGGGACCTCAGTTTCCCCCTCTGCCCAAGGTCAGCCAGGACTGGTGGTCTCTGGCTTCATGGGGGAGCGACACCGCCCAGCACCCCGCCCACACGGCCTGACTCACCTCTCCCGGGGGGCGCTCTCCACCCTGAGCCCCTCACTGGACCTGAGCCACCCTCCCACCCGCTCAGTGTATTTGGGGATGTGCTGTAGCAGGGTGTTCCCTGCCTTCCCAGACTGAGGGGACTCGGATGTCCTGTGACCGGGTCATTGGGTCCCTGTGGACAGCAGTGTCCGTGGCCTCCGTGGCCCTTTCATTGTCACAGGTGATGGGTGCTGAGTGGGCGGCTGAGCTCCCTGGGGCCTGGGTTTCCCGCTGGTGGAGTGGGGTCCCCGGGAGGTCGGGTGGGGCCCCTGCGGGTTCTGGCCAGCTGCTCACGGGCGCCTCCTCCCAGGTCAGAGGAGCGGCCCGTGAATAAGCGCAAGGTGCAGAGCGGCCACTTCCAGAAGAAGAAGCTGCGGCTGCTGGAGGCCATGCTGGAGGAGCAGCGCCGGCTGAGCCGCGCCATGGAGGAGACCTGCCGCGAGGTGCGCCGCGTCCTGGACCAGCAGCACCTCCTGCAGGTGCAGGGCCTGCAGCTGCAGGAGCGGATGATGAGCCTGCTCGAGAAGATCATTGCCAAGTCCAACGTCTAGGGCACTCGGGCCGCCTCCCCCTCGGCCCCACCCGCCCTGGGCTGGGACTTCCCTTCTGAGGGGCCTTGTGAGGACCCCACAGGCCCTGGGACACCCTGAGGCCCCACCTCCAGCATTAAGCCCCCTTCGGACACACGCCAGGTGACTGGGTGATTCCCCAGCAAGGAGGTGCCAGTGTCCCCTCTCCGCCACAGTCACCGTGGACAAGTGGATGGCGTTTGACGTTAGGTGGGCGATCCTTTCTCCCTGCCTGGGAGCAGAGCCACCTTCCCAGGCCCCGAGGGGGCACCAGGTCGGCCCGTTCCCGAAACGAGCAAATGCAAACGGGTTCGAGGCGGGTGTGCACGGCCATGAAGTCCCTCCTGGAGGGGAGGGGTATCTCCCTCACCGAGTCCCCCATCTGCCCTAATGTACCTTCTGACCCTGAGGGAGCCGGGCTGCCTCCCAGAGCCTTTTTATTCCTGTTGCTGGGCTGTGGGGTGCTGTGCCCGCCTCCTCAGTGGTAACTAATAAAGGGAATGTCGCCCACTCACGTGCCCCCCCACTCACTCTCTGGGCCGGATGGTGGCCTGAGACAGGCCTCTCCTCACGGAGCTTGTGCCTGGGTGGGAGACAAACACCAAACACGGGAACGGAGAAATAAACTCGTGGCAGGTTGTGATCACAGCAAGAGCAGGGCCGACCCCACAGCCCGGGAGGGGCCGGACTCGGAGCTGGGAGGCCGGTGAGTCCAGAGGCCGGCAGCACCGCAGGAAGCCCTGGCCGGGCAGCTGGGCCTGAGAGCAGCTGCCTCACTGCCTCTGCCCCTGGCCAGCGGGAAGACCTTTCTAGAAGCTCCTCGGCTCCTTGGTCTTTGGGTCACTGGTTGCACAGGAGGCTGGGCCCCGGAGCCTCCTGCCCTGGGACTGGCATGTTGCCCAAGCAGCAGGGTCTGAGGTGACAAGGAAGGTGGGTTAGTGGCAGGTGACATGGTTTGACTTCTGGCCTGGAGAAGCCCCCTCTGATTGGGCTGGGCCAGCTGCTGGGGGCAGGAAGAGCGGCCTGCCCGGAGGCCGCACGGTCAGCGGTCATCAGAGCAGCCGCCGCCAGCTCACCCAGCACGCCCCGGGCCCTGAGGTCAGCCCAGCCAGGCAGAGGCCACCCAGTGGCCCCGAGGTCAGCCAGGCGGAGGTTGCCCGGTGGCAAGGTGGCGCCAGGTGGGCAGGACCCCTTCTTCAGCCACGTGCCATGGACAAGCCCATTTGCCTCGGGGCTGAAGGCAGAGCTGTGTCTGGTGAGCAATCACCAGCCCTGCAGTGGAGGTGGGGCCGACGTGGGAACTTGCCCACCTTGGGTGTGGACATTCCCGCCAAGGCCCATTCAGCTGCCGCGTGGCGTCACAGAACCCACGGTTGGGAGCAGGTGCGCCCATGGGTGCCAGCAGCACGCTGCACAGGCGGGAGCTGGGACGAGTCGCGCTGGAGACCCTGGTTTGGGGGCTTGCTCGGCTGGTCGCCAGCTCAGGTGCCCCCTGCCTCTCAGACAAGACGTCCCCGTAGGACTCGTTGCTTAACCTACCCTGGGCCCTGCTGGACCGACCTGGCCAGGCGTGTGGCCCCCCGGGGCGGTCCGGCCCGAAGCCCCTGGGAGGCGACATTGAGGGTCTGAGTTCCGTGGCAGATTCCTACCTTAGACACCTTCGTGTTCCTAGAACCATGGGCGTGACTGTTCGGTCATTTAGCATTTTCTCTCTTGTATTCAGAGGTGGTCGGTCTGCTCTCTGCTCCCCACTCTCTCTGTGGAGGGTGGGGTCTCGCCCTCCGTGTCCACGGTGGGTCGCGATGCCGTCCCTTCCTTCCCTGGGCAGCCGCCTCGGGCCAGGGGAGCTCCGCAGAGGGCCCACCAGGCTGGTGTCTCCATAAACTAACGATCTTCCCATTTCTACTGAAGCTGTTGACAAGGAGAAATGGGCTAATAACTGACGGGATCCAGCAGAACAGCAGGTGACCAGGGAAACTGACCTCCGGGGCCAGGCGGACGTGCTCCCCCTCCCGTGACCCCTGGGGTCTGACACCACAGCTGCAGCCAGACACGTGGCACAGCCTGCGGAGTGGCAGGAATGAAAATGAGCCCTATTATCAAACAATGGTCTGGATCCCAGAACGCCAGCTCCACAAAGGACCGAGAACGCCTCAGGCACCTGTTCAGAACGAGGGTGGAAAGACACTCCGATCGATCGCAGCTGAGCCGCAGGCGGGACGACCCAGGAGAGAACTAGCCGAGAAGGCGCAGGCCCCCCGGAGAGCACCGCTCAGGGCCATTGAAAGGCCTGAGCACCTGAGCAGGTGGGGGAACAGCCTACCCCCGAGCGCTCCAGAGTCAAGCACCGTTTACTGTCATCCCGACTACTCTCCACGACGCTGTGTTTTTGTTTTGAAATGGACAGAATTATTGTAACATTCCCAGGAAAAAAGTTCAGAAGGCTCGAGGAAGACATGCTCAGGCCCCAGGGCACGGGGAAGGGCCCCAACACGGTTTCACTCGGGAGGGAGGCTGACCCTGGCCGCTCGCAGTGGGCGGGACAGCAGGACGTGGAAACCCAGATGCCACCAGCGGGGGCGGGGGCGGGAGCGGGGGCAGCCCTCTCATCTCAGGGAGCAATTCGGCCCCGGCTCGTGAGGCTGAAGGAAACCACGCCCTCGGCTCGGCGG